AGGTTGTTGTTCGTGCTAAAGACCCCACGATGTTGTTGCTCACGTGAAACCCCTGTGAAGACCTCATGTGACTGTTGCTCATCTGAAGTCCCCATGAAGATATAAAGACGATTTGGTGGTGTTTGTGTGAAGATCCCATAAGGTTGTTGCTAGACCAATAAGGTCGGTTCACATGTGAAGATCCTCGTTATTTGCTCCTTGTGTGAAGACCAGTTGTCTAACTGCGTGTGTAAAGACCCCAAGGCGTTATATAGCTGCGTGTGTAAAGACCCCATGACGTTGTGTAGCTGCGTGTGTGAAGACCCCATGACGTTGTGTAGCTGCGTGTGTGAAGACCCCATGACGTTGTGTAGTTGCGTGTGTGAAGACCCCATGACGTTGTGTAGCTGCGTGTGTGAAGACCTCATGACGTTGTGTAGCTGCGTGTGTGAAGACCCCATGACGTTGTGTAGCTGCGTGTGTGAAGACCCCATGACGTTGTGTAGCTGCGTGTGTGAAGACCCCATGACGTTGTGTAGCTGCGTGTGTGAAGACCCCATGACGTTGTGTAGTTGCGTGTGTGAAGACCCCATGACATTGTGTAGCTGCGTGTGTGAAGACCCCATGACGTTGTGTAGCTGCGTGTGTGAAGACCCCATGACGTTGTGTAGCTGCGTGTGTGAAGACCCCATGACGTTGTGTAGCTGCGTGTGTGAAGACCCCATGACGTTGTGTAGCTGCGTGTGTGAAGACCCCATGACGTTGTGTAGCTGCGTGTGTGAAGACCCCATGACGTTGTGTAGCTGCGTGTGTGAAGACCCCATGACGTTGTGTAGTTGCGTGTGTGAAGACCCCATGACGTTGTGTGTTGCTGCGTGTGTGAAGACCCCATGACGTTGTGTGTTGCTGTGTGTGAAGACCCCACGCCACACTGTTATGACGCAATTTGAGATAGAGTCTAACGTCCACTAGCAAGGGAACCTTCCAACATCTTGCATGAAATCGCATGGGTACCACCGACGTGATAAATAATAATCAGCTTTAAAAACAGTTTTAAAAAACAGAAGACATGTTTTTGGATCAGTGCATCCAAATTGTTTGGCTTGGATAAAGCGATTGATTCAGTACATGCTAAAACTATTCACTACACGCTAAAACTATTCAATACACGATAAAACTATTCTGTACACGCTGAAACTATTCAGTACACGCGTACACGCTAAAACTATTCAATACACGCTAAAACTATTCAATACACGATAAAACTATTCTGTACACGCTGAAACTATTCAGTACACGCGTACACGCTAAAACTATTCAATACACGCTAAAACTATTCAATACACGATAAAACTATTCTGTACACGCTGAAACTATTCAGTACACGCGTACACGCTAAAACTATTCACTACACGATAAAACTATTCAGTACACGCTAAAACTTTTCACTACACGCTAAAACTATTCAGTACACGCTAAAACTATTCAGTACATGCTAAAACTATTCAGTACACGATAAAACTATTCAGTACACGATAAAACTATTCAGTACACGCTAAAACTATTCAGTACACGCTAAAACTATTCAGTACACACTAAAACTATTCAGTACACGCTAAAACTATTCAGTACACGCTAAAACTATTCAGTACACGCTAAAACTATTCAGTACACGATAAAACTATTCAGTACACGCTAAAACTATTCAGTACACGCTAAAACTTTTCACTACACGCTAAAACTATTCAGTACACGCTAAAACTATTCAGTACACGCTAAAACTATTCAGTACACGATAAAACTATTCAGTACACGCTAAAACTATTCAGTACACGCTAAAACTATTCAGTACACGCTAAAACTATTCAGTACACGATAAAACTATTCAGTACACGCTAAAACTATTCAGTACACGCTAAAACTATTCAGTACACGCTAAAACTATTCAGTACACGCTAAAACTATTCAGTACACGCTAAAACTATTCAGTACACGATAAAACTATTCAGTACACGCTAAAACTATTCAGTACACGCTAAAACTATTCAGTACACGATAAAACTATTCAGTACACGCTAAAACTATTCAGTACACGATAAAACTATTCAGTACACGCTAAAACTATTCAGTACATGCTAAAACTATTCAGTACACGCTAAAACTATTCAGTACATGCTAAAACTATCCAATCCATTCTAGACTCAATTCATTTATCAAAACTAACGGAAAGAGAATTCCAAAAAAAAACATGATTTTTTTCCCTTATTTTTTACTTTTTTGCTTAACATTCTACATTATTATTAGCACATTAAAGACAAGCAATCTATAGCTAAACCAAGTGTGCGACAAGTTTTGTATTTAAACATACCTTGTCAGGCTTTTTTTTAAGTTGCATTGCCAGGATGAAATACAGTTATGTCACTGTTTCCTATTGTATTTATTTTGTCAATATTTATTTACAGTTCTAACAGTAGTAGTTACATTTAGGGTGGTTGTCCGTTACATGATATATAACTAACGTTATATAGGGCAGAGGGTGAGTCTTATTTTGTGTGCTATAGGCCTACACGCCAGTTGGGAAATATGGCTGTTGTAACATATCTACAAGATGTCATAAAAATGTTTAACTTGGCATCAACTGTAGCAGGATGGTTTCTCTGTGTACGGGGATGTCAAATCTGCATTTCATGAGTGATGTGTCGTCTACTAATTAAGTGTCATTTACTAACTATGTCATCGTTCGGCTGTTTTTACATTGTCACCTGTCATTTATCCCTGATAGAAATCTAGTTTTCTGTCGTGTTTTTTTTAATTGAGTGTAAAATTTGGACAAATTATTAAACAAGCCCAGTTCAAGTGTTTTTTTTACATATATAATTTCTTACTTATGCTAGGTTTATAATTGTTTTGTTGTTGTTTGTTTGTTTCTTTGTTCGTTCGTTTGTTTGTTCGTTCGTTTGTTTGTTTGGTTTGTTTGTTTGTTTGTTTTCTTTAACTTTATGCGAAGAGTTCAAACTAGATACGACCTTCTTTCCCCACCCAAAATGATTTTGTTCAGTCCGGGGATGATCTACAAAAAAGTCACCACAAACTATAGCCTAACCCTCCTTTAAATCAGAAACAAACCACAAACCACAATCCACAAACAAACCACAAGAAAAACAAAAAATCTGAATACATACAACATTTTCATGTTTGTTATTTGTTAACAATTGTAAATGTTGCAACTCTCTTCACATCGAGACTAGACCCGCGGTAAGGGGAGGGGAATTGTAAACAAACGCCGGCAAGGCATGTCGGGACGGATGGAGGGCACGTGCTTACAGGAAATAGCCTCGATTTAAACAACGGTTTATGGCCTTTGTTGAAGTGGTCGACTGGGGCTGGCATCACACGGCCACTAGCTGGCCAGAGAATGGTTTGTGGCCATTGATTGCAAGTAGTGGGAGCTTCAGTTTTTTAATTCACAAAAGTGTACGATCGAAGGGGGGAATATATATATATATATATATATATATATATATATATATATATATATATATATATATATATATATATATATATATATATATATATATATATATGTATATATATATACATAATTGATATAAAAATAATCACACATTTAATATATTTTCACCCGTTTTGATGCGAATATAGTCGTCATTACAGATTTTTTTTTTAATTGCAAAATATCTTATAATATAGGGATTCTCCTAAAATATTCGTATGAACGGAGTGGTAATGAAATGGTAAATCAATGAATGGTTATGTTGTTTTGATTAGAATATAATGTTGGACATTTTAATGTATAATGTTTTAAGAAAAACAAGAAGTCCGCTACAATATTAACATTTTACGATGGTTCCATAAATATTTTAACACTTTAGGTAAATTTAAATAGTGAATAACCGTTCGCCATACTTGGACTAAACACCCGCCACACTTTAATTAAACACCCGCAAAACCTGGATTAAGCGTCCGACACACTAGTGTTAAATAGACGCCACACACAGATTAAATTTAAACACATGCAACACCTAAATTAAACGCTGCAACACCTGGATTAAACGCTGCAAAACCTGGATTAAGCGTCCGCCATAATAGTGTTAAATACACGCCACACACAGATTAAATTTAAACACATGCAACACCTAAATTAAACGCTGCAACACCTGGATTAAACGCTGCAAAACCTGGATTAAGCGTCCGCCATAATAGTGTTAAATACACGCCACACACAGATTAAATTTAAACACATGCAACACCTAAATTAAACTCTGCAACACCTAGATAAACCAGCCACCACACCTGAAGTAAACACCGGTAAAATATGGGTTAAACGCCCGTCGTACCTGGTTTAAACACTTACAACACCCAGATTAAGCACCCGTCACAGATGTATGAAACACACCGTTAATCGCGACATTACCCATAGATTAAGCTTCACGGATGAATGAATATCTTTAGATTTACAAAACATAATCCGTTGTTTAGTTACTGGAAGAAATCCGCGTTGTGTGTTTACATGTACCCAACCCAGTGATTGAAAGCTGAGCTGTAGCACTTGTAGCAGTTGTAGCAGTTGTAGCAGTTGTAGCAGAGTTGTGTAAATAATCACGTGATATTGTCACATCGCAAACGGCAGTGAGTTAATTAAAAGTTGATTATTATGTTGCCTCATCGGAGCAAATATTTACAAGAGCTTTATTTTTTTACGCGGGATATTAGGGTTGTTTGAACATGTTATAAATTCGTCTAAAATGTACTGAACAGGTCTGTTATGAAAAATGTTCATATTTGTTTGAAATGAAAGTACTAAAGATTTATGTAATGAAAATTATTTTTTTTATTCGATTTGCATTCAGATATTGTCCGATATTTGAGTGAACTTCATTAGCAAACTTGGTGTAAAATGAAATGTTTGATATTTTTTTTTACTCGATAAAATCAATAGTGAAACACGTTTTTAAACCATCGGGAAATGAAAAAAAAACTAAAAAAATAAATAAAATACTTACGTTGTAGTGGTGTATCACTTAGCCTGGTGTGTCCAGATCTAGCACCGCAAGCAAACGTCCAATATGGCAACGTGGTTTACCACAGGCAATTGTCCACAGATTCTACTCTCTATCTGTGCTATTAGCAAGCGTCCTGTCATCTATTACACCAACGTGCTGCTGTCTATGACGCCGCGTCAGTCAGTGCTTCTACAGGCGTCCAATTATGTCAGCATTAATTGATTTTTTAACATGTCAGGCTGATAGGTATCGAACTGTTATTGCTTAACATTCGGGTAATGTTGTGTATAATTTAGCAAAAAAAAAATAATTTATCTGGCAACGTTTTTAAGAAACAAGAAAACTCATTCAGAAAATAATTAAATTTTAACTTCGATAATGTTTTGAAGTAAATACACGTTGATTAAGTGTGAATATTATTGTATCCTCACAAATGTGTAGGCTCGCGCGGGTTAAAATGTGTGTAACACAGGAACAATACAACAGCCCGTTATTCCGATGTACGAAATAGTCCGTTGCTGTCGACGGGTCGCCAACAGTTGCTGGCGTTCTGAGGCAGGTGCGCGCACGGCTCTGAGGGACGGAGACGTCGCTCACCTAGGAACTGCTTGACGCGCTCACCAAGGAAGTGTCCGTCTGCCGCACGTCACGTGGTCTCACGCGCGTGCGTCAAGCGCTGGGCTCGTGCCGGTCTTTCACGTCATAGACTGGGGGGGGAGGGGGAGGGGGGAGGGGAGAGATGACATGGAGAGAGGGAGAGATGACATGGGCAGATTACAAGGGGAGAGGTGGATATAGGATAGGGATATGACAAGGGGTAGTTGATGAGGGGTGGGGGTGTGACAGTGAGGGGTGGTGATATAACTAAAGAGGGGGGAGGATTAGGGAGAGGATATTACACTGTGGCGGAGGGGTAGATGATTGGGCTGGGGCTGGGGGTGGGACAGTGTGGGGGGGGGGAGAGGGATAAATGATAGAGGTGGACAGTACACTGGGGGAGAGGAAGAGATTATAGGGGTAGAGATATGACAATGGGGGGGGGAGGAGTGAGCTATATACTAGGTGTAGGGGATGATGGTGGGGGTTGGACTGGGATAGATTATCGAGGATGACTTTGACACAGGGTGGGAGATCTGAATGAGAAAATGATTGGGGAGGGGATGAAGATAAGGGGGGAGTATAGGGGTGCACGTGACCTGACAGGGGGAGGGATGGGTGACAAGACGGAGGGGTATAAGTTGTGGCTGCAGTAAGGGTGTAAGCGACAGATAAATGCTACAGGATTACTGAGCCTGTCACTTTCTCCGTCACATACTATTTCTGCTCTGCGACATACACCACGGGGAGGGGGAGTAGAAAGGCCGGGGTGTGTGAGGGGAGGGGGGGGGGGGGGGAATCTCCCCAATGACCGCCGTGTACGGGCGCAGCTGCCGTCGACGCGTCTGATTCTCCCCGTGGGATGGCATCGGTCTGCTGGAGAGACCACGTGGTCTCCGGTTGTGGAGCTCGCGACTTCCGGTGTCTCCTGACCTCCGACTTAACACAATCAGCCCGATAATGAAGCAGACTTGGCCTTGAGAACTACCAGCTTATGCAATGTGTATTTTTTTTTTGGTCTGTTTGAAAAAAAAAGGGAGAGAAATTTACAACACTTGAAATAAGAGAATTTATTCAATAGGTAATTGGGTTATGGGAAAACTGCTATTTTTAAACATAATGGCATTGGCCCAATTCGCTGGGATGGACCAGATCATTATTCACGATTGAGACCAAAAACATATTTGTGTATTTTTTTGTCTCCAGGGTTAAATTTTAAATAACAACTTTAAATAAAGCTAAAAAAATGTAATTAAATATGTTTAGAATCGATGTTACAATATTTGCACATTCAGAGAACGTGAATTCTTGTATTTGCCTTTAAGGCTAAATTTCAATTTACTTGAGGTATAAATTTTATATGACAAATTTTTGTTCGCTTTTAATTAGCCCCCCTCCCCCCTTTCCTCATGCCCCTCTATTTTTGCTAGAGAGACCCAATTCTACTGCGAAAAATATGTTGTTAATACTCTTAAACTTTATTCTTTATTTTCTTTGCTACCGGAAACATTAATATTAACAAATAGGTCTATTCTGTAGAAAATGCATACATAAAACACACAGTCAATGTGTTAATTCTCACCCATATTTTAAAAACACTGCACACAACTTTCAAAATAATTGGGTTCTACTTGATAATTTTCAGGCTAGATATCATTAGGAACAACTCTAGTTTAAAGCCTCCCAACTAATTTGTTCTTCATTGTCTGAGATATGGAATCTAACTTGTTGAACATATCATCCCGAGTTCGGATCCCGGGCAGGCAGACGAGGCTCGATAGCCGGAGACAGCAACGCGTCTAGAAGAGACAACTCCAAAATCAAAACAGCAGCTGCCTTGTAGTTTGTTCTTGGTTGGACAAAGGCTATGGAAGCAAATCCAAAAAGAAAAACAGGTGGAAATCTGAGTCAGTGGTCTATAGGCGAATGAAATATTGACACGTAATACTTAATTGTGTTGGAGGGAATCTCTTCCAACATTACATTTGAGAACGAAGAAGAAGAAAACATGAAATTAATATAAACCTTATAAACCTGATATCCCTATATTATACATCTAGTATGGAATTTGAATACATGTAGCCAAGCGGAGGAAATTTAACAACTTTAAAACGACGGTACTTTTTACCAGTCACTATCATGAATAGGTTTTTATCTAGGGGCAACACCATTGTTGTTGACAATAATTTAATCAGTGCGTAAAGCCTTGTAGCCGTTAACTTTCTTAAATTTGACTGTGTATATAATTCAATACCCCAGCTTAAATTGAACTATTTTTTCCTAGCCCTCCCCCCCGCCCCACCCAATCTACCCTAGCGACGCCGCTGAAATAAACTAAGATAAAGTTTTTCTATTAAATAAAAAGTTCTTAACAGCCTAGAACAGGGGTTATCAAACTGGGAAGCGCTCTCTTAAAATAAAAACAGTGTATCGCAACATTGTTTTATATATTAAGACTCATTAAAAGAAAAGTATTAATTTCTGTAAGTTACTCCCCATTACTAATTATGTAATAAAAATGGGAGACAAGCTATACTTTTGCTCCCAAATTATGTAAAAAATAAAGACATACAGGTAACGTTCAAAAACTAAAATAATTAATCAAAATTTATTATATTTTAAAACAGAGCTATGGTAAACCTAATAATTTCTTTGACATTTGAGAATTGTTAATATGTTTTAGATTTATCATTTAAATCGATAACTATTAGCTTTCGGAATCAACCTGTTCATAGACTAATGAAACTTTGCTTTCGACGTTGTTGTATGGACTTGTTGTGTAACAAAATGTTTAAAAAAATTCATAAAAAACGTTTTAATAACAAGCTTTTATGTAATGATGCACTAAAAAGTAGAAAATAAATTATAGACTACTATTTAAATAACTATAAAGAAAAGCGTGGGTCACTTTAGTATCCAGAGTTTCTTCCAGGCATCTCTTCGGGGGGGCGAAGCCCCCCCGAAAAATTTTTACCGCCCCCCCGAACGAAATGAAATATATATAATTTATATAGAAAATATATACTTTTAACAGTGTCCGCCCCCCCGAAGAAAGTTTACCGCCCCCCCGAAGATTTCAAGTGCCCCCCCGGAGAAAAAAGTCTGGAAGAAACACTGTTAGTATCTATTGGATACCTTTACTAATGTTAAGGAAGACACCCACGCTTTTCTTTATAGTTATTTAAATAGTAGTCTATCATTTATTTTCTACTTTTTAGTGCATCATTACATAAAAGCTTGTTATTAAAACGTTTTTTATGAATTTTTTTTCAGTACTTTACATGTTTTATTTACAATAGAGTTACATGACTAAAAACCATTGCACGCCTACTGAACATGATGTTCAGTAGGCGCGCAATGGTTTTTGAACGCAGCCATTACGTGATGGCGCGGCTATTGAATGAAGGTGATGACGCGTGTGGTGTGGTTGGCTAGACATGCCTACTAATTCGGTCCAAATTTTAATTAATTCATAAAAAATTAATTAGGCATCCAATTAAGTCAAATTTAGTTTCAGATTGCATTGTCTTCATGTCTTGGCCCACGTGCCAACTGTGAATCGTATCGGTCAAGTAGAACTGTCCGAATTTTCACTCCTGCGTTTCCGTCTGGACTGACGACAGAGGAAGTGAGTTAAATAAAAGCTTGTAATAAAAAAAAAACCTGAATGGTAGAAAGAGATACCCACCTCAACCCCCCCCCAACACACACACACACACTCCCCCCCCCCCCACACTCAACCGGACTGGCGGACATTTCAAGGTAGCGTGCCCTCATTGCCAAGGGTCAATTTTATGTCATGGAAAGTTTTGGAATGATAGATCAGTACGTGATTACAGAGACCCTTCTCCTACAGTCGTTTCTTTTTCTGTCCATGGGTGGCTACAGTGTGAACTTTTGACTCCGCAGCACACTAAACTAAGCAGTGAAGAGAAACCTAGTTTGCACACCTTATTTTAATCTAGTTCTTATGCCATTTTATTTTTTTCCCTTTGATTATTATATATGCAATTGATGTTCATTGTTCATGTCTTTGATGCTACGTAAAATCTATCAAATATATTATTATTACTGATTTAAATGTTTAAAACAATTGAATTAATAAAAATAAAAATAAATAAAAAATCTACCCCCTCCTCTCTCCCCCTCTATCCACTTTACCCCCAGACATGATAACCCCACAATCCCTTTAACTGTTCCAACGACCCCACCACCCACCGCAACATCAATATCCAGAACTTATTTAAAGTTCTAAATCTTGTCTCTTTCCCCTCATCTTTCACACTGCAACCTTTTGAAAACTCAATGCGACCACTACAACACCCTTTCAACTAGTCAACTTAAGTTGTTTCCCTACATAGAAAATGCTTCACTGTCCCATTGACCCTCTCTGAAAAATTTCCTTTCCTCTCCCCACCCAGACTTCTGACACTTTCATTTGACCTTCACCCCTTTTACTGTCATCCTTTGCAATTTTTTTTTATAATCAAATACATGACATCATGTAAATATTCATTATGTACATTTGCAAAACCTTTCGTTTTCATTTGGTGTTCAAAATTATGTTAAAAAATTTGATGTTGATGTACTTGTTTTAATTGAAAATAAAAGTATTAAAAAAAAAAAAAAAAAAAAAAAAAAAAAAAAAAAAAAAAAGAATTTTACTTGTGATGGAACTTATGCTTTCATTTAGCTGCGATAAAAATATTTACATGTTGCTATATACTAAAGCTATACATTTTTGTACAAGAAGACTTGGATCTTTCTATATAATTTTTTTAAACATGTATTGTCTACAGATTTTCAACATGTCATTTGCATATTATTCAAAATAAAAGTTGTCTCACAACAACAACAAAAAAAAAAAAAAAAAAAAAAAAAAAAAAAAAAAAAAAAAAAAAAAGTATACGAAGTCCAGACTTCTGACACTTTCTTTTGACCTCCACCCC